TTCTCCCTTTCCATGACCATGAGGGAGAAATAAGGATCCACGTTAGCTTCTAATGCCAGGTGTGGCCTGGCCTTCTCAGATCCCATTTGCTCACTTTCATGGCAGGCAGATGTGGAACCTCCTCCAGGGCACTGGGCCCAGCACATATACCCTTGCCCTACTCCAGAGCCACTGAGGGCTGGGCAATAGGATCCCCCTTGAACTGTCTAGATCCCTGACACACTGCATACTCTTTGAGGTCCCTCCCAAGCCAGAGGCTCTTAGTTTGCCTGGGTGTAATTTATACAATGTCAAAGGAAGAGACAAAAGGGCTTTCCATGTCAAAAGAAACCTGCTTTTCTTTTGTTAAATTTCTCAGGTCAAATGGGAAGGCAAAATAAACAGTGGCCAGTGATAGCCCTGAGTCTGATGTTTGCAAGACCATCTCACCAACAGTATCTCTTCTGTACTTCCCACAATGCTATGAGCTGGGTGGGACTGGCATTCTGATACTTCCATCTGACAACTGAGGGCACTGTGGCTCAGGCAGGTTCATAGACTTGTCTAAAATTCCACAGTTGGTCAATCTCCCATCCAAGGCAAAGCTTGTGTTCTTACCACCACATAGTGATGTTTCTGTGCCCACGTGTAACCAGGGATGACCATCTAATCTGGCACTACCCAAGGTGTCTGTCATATTGAGGCATTCTCAACTTGTGTCAAAGGATCCCTCAGGGAACCACGAATAGGCTTCCAAAAGGATCTATAAGCCCCTTAAATTAGATGCAACATTGCATATTATTGTGTGGTGGTCTAAGGAGAAGACCCAGAGTTTTCATCATATTCTCAAAGAAGGCAAGAGCCATCCCTGCTCCAGAGGGTCAGGAATCATTTTTGTTATGATTTCAGGTTCAAGAGACCAGTTGGGGTTGGCTTACCTGAAGGCAAGCTCAGAAGAGCCTCGGAAGCCACATAGTCTTGGCTGTTCTCTAATTCATGAACAGGACCAGCTTTATGTCAGGCATGGTACCTATTTGGCGAGGGATGCGGGGCAAGAGGGCCTTCCTAAGCCCTGAACACCTCCCTACCTGTGCCCTACCTTCTCTCCAAGGCATGGCAACTCTTGCATCCCATAATTCAAGTTAGAGGCTCTAGATTCTTCCAAGGAAGGGAGTCCCACTAAGGCACAAGGGCTGAGGATAGCACCTTTCCAGGTAAAGGGGAGAAGGCGAGGAAGAATAGAATGCAGGCTGTCTAGGACCCAGGAAAGGGAAGGTAAGGGGATTGACCCCAAACTTAGTTTGCTCAGGATTTGGCAAAGGGCCAACCCAAGGCCAGATAGCCTATCCCTAGTCATGTGGGGAACACGGCTTCAGACACAGCCCTTCCTATACAGGTACCACCTTCAGGAAAGATGTTGTGAGGATTACAGAGACAATGTCAGCTTTGAGTTCTCACCCCCTAGAGTGAAATGTGCTTACCCCCTAGAGTGAAATGTTCTCACCCCCTATAGTGAAAGGCAAAATTCTACTCCTGAGATAGGATGAGTGTGTAAGTGCCAGAGGCTGTGCTTCACAACTGCCTGGGCAAGGAGATGAAAACTGACAAATGGCTAACCTGGCCATCTCTTGCATCCCATAAATCAGTTTCTGTGGACTCAAAATATGAGATTAATGTCACTGCTAAGGATCTCCACCCTAGGTATGAGAACACAGACTTCCCAACCACCCAGAGCAGGGAATGGTCCTCCTACCCTGGGATCCACTGCCGCTGTTTGGGAAGAGGGGGATGAAAGGGATTTGTAGGACTGCCAAAGGGCTCTTACTCTTGGGCACTGAGGGAGGGCAGCTAAGAGCTACGGGGAGTAGGAGGGAGAGAATCTTGTGATTTCACTGCTGCAGCCACTCAGAATAGGTTAGGCACCAGGGCCAGGCTCTTGGGAGGCTCCAATTTAATAACAGCCTCACTTTTTGCTGCGGGAAGAGACCTCACCACCAGCCCCATTAGCGGGAAGGGAAGGACTCCATGGCTGTCCTACTGCACAGGACATCTGTCTCGCCCCAAAGGTAACACCCAGGCTATGTGCTGGACAATGTTCCATGCTCTCTGGGAGCACTGGTTTCCCCCAGTAGGATTAGTGCAGTGACACTCCTTGATATTAATATTTTCAGGGCTCATTTTGAGGGCTGTGGTGGCAAAGAACATGATAATGTTCTTTACCCCATTGCTGGGGGATCACTAGAAACAACCTGATTGTTCACTTTAATTCGAATGTCAGCATAATTATTTTAACACCACGTGTGTCAGATTTGACTCCATATCCTGGAAATTAATTTTAGAGTGGCAGGGAAATAAAATGGCATACTTCTTTGAGCTTTGTTACAACATGCTCGTGCAGCAAACTGTGAAGAAAATGTAGTAATTAGAGGTTAAATTAATCCTTGACAGACAAGCAGCTTAGAAACGCTGTGCCTTCCTCCCCAAAGCCTAGCATAATGCATGCCAGTCTTTCAGAATTAGACACGCGAAGCATGTGACATTGGCAACTGCACCAAAACTACTGTCCCACTTAAAATTCCAAGGTCGGTGCTGGAATTTCCAGGGGCAGATATTAACACTGAGATCTCATTAAGAACAAAACCCAAACAACCTCCTGCCACTGCCAATGGAGCCCCCCAGCCAAGCCATCCCTGGGGCTGGCTGCCCGACTCTCTAGCAACAACTTGAAAACAAGAGGAGACACACTCCTTTCTGATCCATTCCCCAGCTACTTTCAGACTTTCAGTTCAGATTCCAATACGCCTCTCTGCTGTCCTAATGATGCTGAGCCAAGTACACATTGATATCAGGCAGACAATATTACAACCACTACAATGTTCCTCCTGATGGGGTGCACCGCCTTTCACCATGTTTGGTGCTGCCTCAAAATGAAAACCTGTATGCTCACACGTGGGTGCAAAATGGGTGTTCTGGACTTAACTGGGAATTCGAGACAGGGTTCTGTCTACTATGGGATCCCTTTACTATCGTCCCTCAGGAAAGTTGGGCACTTCTCTGGGCCTCAGTTTCCTCTTCTATAAAATCATGGGGCTTTATTCTTCCTCCATCTTTTAGTAACTGAGTTTGTAGGTGAGGTAGTGTACCTATGCTAACTATGCACTCCTCCCCTTCTGTGCTGGCATGCCTCTGAGCTGAAGCCCAGGGGGGAGTTTAGGGTTAGGATTAGGGTTAGGGTTAGAAGTTGAGGGTGGGGTTTCAGCTTCATACCATGGGCAAAATGTAAATGTACAACTCATGGGGTGGGGGTGGGACAACTGGACAGAAGACTTGGGATTCCCCAAAGCATTCAGATTGACTTCACTTTGTTTTTGTCTTGCCTTTAGTCCCCAAAGGCCCATACTTCCCCTCCAAAGGTGGAAGGCACAAGCCAGGTCCACCAGGCCCTTCTTACCTAGATGTCATTCACTAGCTCAGGTCCTATGGCCACCAATGACCTCCTACAGAATCAGCATAAATGTGTCCCTATTGCCTAGTGTCCAGGTACTCCCATAGGTGGAAGAAAAGGGAAAACACAATGGCCAGTTGGCCAGGACCCCTTCCAACAAGGTGAAATCCCCTAGTCTGCCCCACCCTTCTCTGGGCCTCAGGGAACAATTCTCAGTCTTAAGAAAATGGCATTTCCCAAGCCCCACTTAATGGTTATTTACTCAGCAGAGCAAGCAGCAGGGTACATGGGGAGGATAAGGCAGCTGCCACCCTCCCACCCCTTCCAAGGAAATGAGGGGCTGGGAGGCTCTCATTGTGCTGTGTAGTAAGGGGCATTGGCTGCCCTGGGGTCAGAGGACAGCCAGGGCAGCACTGGGTTACCTTGGGTGGGCTTCTCCTCCAAAGACAGGAAGAGCCCACCCTCACACAGCCCAGGGAAGGAAGGGAAGAATTTGAAGCTGGTGTCCCAGAGAGGTCCAGGAGAGTCCATCTGGGCAAGGAAAGTCCTCCTAGACTCTGCAAAGAGCTTTTTCCTTGTGTGTCCCACCCTGCCCCCCACTTAGGTCCCACCTCTGCAAGCCTTTCTCTGGGGAGCCCAGTGCATACAGCCAGGAATGCCCCTCCCTTTTGCACTGTTTCATATCTGATTGCTTTGGAAAATATGAAGAGGTCAAATTTTAGGAGGAAACTTGAGGCTGGAAGGAAACCAGGGATGCTCTGTGAAAGGAGAGAAAGAGAGAAAGCAACTGGAGTGGGAAGGTGAAGGGGTGGAGGGAAGGGAGAACCCCACTCTTTTGCTTCTATCCCTGCCCCTTGCAGAAAATTGCCCCGCAGCTGCAGCAGCCCTTGGGCAGGTAATTTAGCAGCAGGACCTCACCTGACTACAATCTGCCATCATCACATTTTGTATGTAAATATCCTATAACACAACCTACTGTTTCTCACCTCCACAGGGAACCCCCTAACTGCCCCAACAGCTCCATGAGGCCTTTTCATTTTCCTTTGATACCTTTACAGACTAAACAACTACAGTGACACAACAAAAGTAACAAGTAATAAGTATTTGCAACAAAATCCCTTCAGATTCATTCTGATTTATGAAGTTTCCCTTCTCAAAGTCCTGAAGATGTTAAAATACTTAATGTCTAAAAAATCAGACCGGTTCAAACTGAGCTTTGCAATGCTTCTCTCCTGCCATACAGTTGACTGGTGCTGCCTAGGTTACTCTCGGTGGCGTTGTGAGAGGTGTATGATGGGAATTGGTTTATTGTGCTGATCCATAGTAACCGGCTCCTGTTCCTCCATCATTTATCTCCCTCCCCAGCGACATCTGGGTTGGTCTATTCACACTCTCAGCATTCTATCTGCTCCAACAAACACTCAGCCTTTTCTGCTTGGATAAGGAGATTTTTTAGTTACATCCATTATATGTGTATCAACATTTATGGCAGCAAGATAATTGCCAAAGAGCTCAGAGGATAAAAGGTCCTTTTTCATAATGTTCACTCCCACCCGTTTAAAAAATCAATACTTACATCAAGCAGGACAATGGCAGATTCTTGCATGGCTGTTGTGGCATCAAAGTTGGAAATGTGATTTTTTAAAAACACCCAGCTGGACTAAAAAGAAAAGAAAAGGTTCAGAAGCCACACCCTACTAGTGCACATGTGTGTGGATGGAAGGCCTTTTTGTCCTTGAAACCTTTGCTAAATAACTGCAAAGCAGCAAATGTACTCTACATTAGATGAGTTTTTTGGAAATATGTCAGTATAACTTTAAAGAGTTTAGATCCTGTTATACCAACCCACTGATCGGGAGGCCTGCCATCAATAGGTCCTGAGATGGCTACAGTAGGAGGGCTGGATAAGAGGTCCTCTGGGATACCTCCTGGTCTCCACCCACCGTCTATTGAGTCTGGGTTAGATGTTCACACTTGCAAAAGACACAAGAGAGGGAACACTTCCCACTTTCACACTGTTTTGATGGGCCTTCTGCCATTTGTTATTCCTCTTATCCCTGCCCTTCAGAATCTCAGCACACCCGTCCCCATTGCATTATCTATCTAGCTGTTTTCCCTGATGACAAGGTGGAACTTGGTGTTTCGCTTCCCCAGAAAATGACTATTTTGTTCACAAATCATAGTGGCTTAGAACTGGAAGGGGCTCAGACTCAGAGGTCATGGTGGAGGGCAAGAAGGGAGGATAGACTTGCCCAAGATCACTCTGCTAATTAGTAGGGAGAGCTTTCTAGAACACAAATTTCCCAGCTCCTAGGCTAATGATATGTGCAGTGCACTGTTGCAGAAAAAAAAAATCAGAATTTTTTTGACTGCTGATGTGAAGCCCCTTTAAAGACGAGCAGTCCAACTCTATTTTCAGAAGAACCGCTTTTCTAAGATCAGTTTCTTCTCATTTCATAACCCCAACTAGTAATCAAGTTTCCCAGGGACGATCCATTAACAGGTGCATTTTAAACCTTTAGGTGATCAATTTAAAAGGGAAAAAAAGGATATTAAACATGTTGGCCAAGCTTTAAAAAATCCCTTCTGTAGTGAAAAAGATTGACAACAGTAAATCTCCTATCTTAAGATGAAGTGAATGTGTAGCCCCCACCCTCACCCCAGCAACAGGCTATTTCCTAGTTGAGTTTAAAAATTCAATGACGTTTCTGTTTCAAACCACACATCTGTGTCACTGTCAGCGTCAGTGGTAGGAAAACAAAGTCACCCTTTGCTAATGAGTTCCTAATATAGAATTTCCTTGTATCTCCTAAAGGCTTTCTTTTTCCAGTGTTAAACTGTTCTCCCCCCTTAAACACATTGTACTGAAAGAAAACTGAAAGTGGCCAGAAGAGGATGATTTTTAAGGAGATCTTGCAAGGAAGAGCTTCAGCTCTTCTTGGTGATATTTTTAAAGGGAGAAGTCTGGAAGAACTGCTAGTTTTTCCAAAGCCAGCAGGAACACAAGAGAGATTTCCTCCCAGTCATAGGGAAATCTCTCAGCCCCATCTCTTTCTTTTGCTTTTCCTGCCTCCCCTTTCCCAAGTTCCACTTTGAGCAACATTCTAACATCAGTATTGAAGGAAACACACCCACACACTGAAGGTAGGCACCAGGAGAGGACAAGGCAGCCCCCAGAGCAGGGAACAGGCATTGGAGAATCACAAAAGCACAAAACAACATAGGAGCCCATCACTTTTCCCTTCCGGAGAATATCCTATTTAATATGCAAACTGGTCATCAGGAGAAAAGAGGGCTGTTACTTTAAGAGGAAGAAGCTGATTAGCTGGTCTGGCTGGCAGCAAACAGCTGGTCTGTCCAGCAGGTTCAAGGCCATTTCAGCTTCTCTCTTATGGAGGCACCATATGTTCCATCTCGCACATCAGCAGCTTTATTTTCCAATGATCTTGCTCCAGAAGAGAAGCACAAAAGGGGGAGGAGAAAGTAGAATCAGTAGTTTGCCCTTTGATTACTTTCTTGTGGTTTTAGATGCAGTTGGGATGTGTGTGTGTGTGTGTGGGGGGTACTCCAAAAAACGGGAGAAAAAATGTTTGACCACCACTTGTTAATAACCTCCAGAGATGGGAGGGGAGTTGAGTAGGGGAAAGTATGCAAAAAGGCACAAATAAAACGTTGACATCAGATTAAATTGGAATGGGAGGGGTGGAGATGGCGAGAGAGTTCCAGTAGAATCTGACTTCACTCTGAGACCCACCAGCCTGAGTTTTGGTCCTGCCCACTTCTCTTTATTTGCCACTTTTTCTTATTGTCAGTATTTCCTTCCCGAACAAACTTCCGAGAGAAGCTGACCACTCTGGGGGACAGGGGCGGAGCAGGTCAACAGAATGGCGAAAGGTTATTTCTAACATTATATTTCACATTCCTCAGTGCAAGCCCCGGTTCCCACAAGTTTTGGGGAAGGACAGGTGCAAGGAACAGGGACCTGCTAAGTCTTCAATCCACGTAAAGCCGGCAGCCCATGCGTGTTGGACAACCCCAGGTACTGGGTCGGTGCGGAGGCAGCAGGCCGGCACACGGTCCAGAGTGGCACGCTTGTCTTCACTGCCCGCCCAAGCTGCACAAATCCTGGAGGTGATGGCTCTGCCTCCGCACCTCCAAACAAAGGGTGCAGGCCCAGAGTTTGAGCCTCTGAGGGGTTGGAGGATGAGGGGTGGAGGTTGCGGCAGGAGGGCACGGGAAGGAATGAGGAATGCAGCCAGACACGGGGTGGTGAAAGCCTCCGAGCCGCCGCCGTCGTCTGTGCCACCCGCAGCTGGTGCAACAGCCGGCCTGAGCCCAGGCGGCGTGGGGGCGCCCGCTGCAAAGCGAAACCGAGGAAAGGGCGCCCCCTATGCCCGAGTCCGGCGAGCGTATCAGTGAGTCGCGTCTGCCCACCCAGCCTAGCGTTTGCCGCCTCAGGCCTCTGAGGCCGCCCGCCCGCTCGCTCACAGTGCAGTTTGCCGGGCCATCTGGGCCGCCGGGATTTAGGGTGTCCACCACTGGCCGGCTGGGCGCCCAGGTGGGGCTGGGGGCCAGGGCTCCTCGCACCTTGCAAGGTTCCCACGAAAGGTCCTCGAAACACAGCCCCCTCCCCCATCGCCTACACTTGTCCTCTGTCCCGAGCGACTCCAAGCCACTTGGAGGCAGCCACCCCCGCCCCCTGCCTCTGCATCCCTTTGCCCTTCCCTCGCTCCAGCCTCCTGGGAAACAAAGGGGCTTTTTATAAAGCGGATAGTTGGCGGCGGTGGCGGCGGCGGGGGTGGAAGGAAGGGGGATCTATAAAGACAAGAAGAGGTGGAAGCGGGGGAAGGAAAAAGCTGTGTGGCCTCCAGGGGCTCGGAGCTGCGGTAGCGGCGAGGAAGCCCCAGTGGGGGCACGGTCGACCCCACATGGCCGGTGGTCACCCAAGGCGGCGGTCCACGCCCGCCAAGAGCTGGGCCGCGCCGCTGTGATGCTGCCCGCCGGCTCACCATAGACAGGGAACACGATTCCCCGGCCGCGGGCTAGGGCTGATGGGGGTGGCATGATTTCCGCGGGAGTCTCCCCCAGGGTACCCAGGCTCTCACCCTAGCCAACTCTTTCCAAATTGCTCGGGTTCGGGGAGACTTTGCCTCTTTGTTCCAGCGCAGCCGCCTCTCCTAAGCTTGGTTCGCTAGCCCTCGCAGACAATGTCCCAGAGCCGGCCTTGGTCTACTATCCGCAAACAGCACGTTTGCCCTGGATTCAGCGCCCTGGGGATGTTCCTTCTGGGCCAAACAACAACGTCAAGCCACCCCAGCAAGGGGAGTCCCTTCTCTTCAGGTCCCCTAGCCACCCTGTGCTCCCGCCCGGCTCACAGACACGCACACTCGGGGTGCCCAGCTCAGCCGCACCCAGCTGCAGGAGCGCGGCGGGAGTGAATGCCCAGCCCGAGGCGCGTCCGTTTGCCCAGGTACCGACGGCCTCAGGGCCGAGTTTTCGGACAGGCTAATCCTATTAGTGTCTGCTCAGTTCGAATTTAATCACGGATCAGAATACGACGACATTGCCAGCTTTCCTTGGAGGCTTCGGACACACTGCATCGGAACGGAGCCTGGCCAAGCCAACTGGCGGAGAAAAGTATTTGGCGGTGCTCCGGGGGGCTTCCTGCCCGCCCTGGCCGGTGCAGGGCGCCAGGCTCTCCGCGGCAGGGATGCCCTGCAGCCCGAAGCGCAGAATTTGGCGCAGGGGTACTGGGGGCTCGGGGCAAGAGCTCAGTCGGGGTTCCCTCAAGCTCCCAGCTCCGTTCAGGGCTGCTCTCCCGAGGAGTTGGCGGGGGAGGGAGCGCAGGGGAGCGGGCTCGGTGCACGCACACTGCACTCTCCGGTTCGGAGGCGCAAACAAGATTGGGGGTAATCCTTCGCCCAGGGCCCACCGCCGACCAGCCCGGGGGCTCAGGAAGCTGGCATGGAAAGGCAGTGTCGCCGGTGGCACCAGGGCTGCAAGCGGCCCAGGGGCGCTGGGACGGAGTGGGAGCCTCCTGGTAGCCCAGCAAAGCCCGGGGAGTCCGCGCAGTCCCCTCTACCTTCCCTCGCGGTTATGAGGCTGCCCCCGCCAGATTTCAGACACCCAATGGGCGCCAAGGAGCAGGCAGAGGCCTCGGCCCTCAGCGTTGTGAGCTGTGCTCAGCCCGGCCCGGACTGGTCTGAGAAGGGGGACATCCGCCTACAGCACCAGGTGGGCCGTGTGCTCGGAGCAAACTTTAGGGTTCCTAGGCTCAAAGCACCCCGGGGCCTCGATTCTTAGTGATGCGAACTATAAGTGGGGGCTACAAGTGCACCCTGGAACCCTCAGAGCAGTTGGACCTCCCGGGCCCGCCCTCAGCCTTACCGTGCTGGGGAGCTCCGGAGGCGGCGGGGGCAGTGTCCGAGGGTTGGCGGCCGCCAGTGTGGGCAGGCTGGCCTCAGGCGCCCGCCGAGTGGCCCGGCCCAGCTGCAGATCACCACCTGGCTAGCAGCCGGTGCCCCTGGGCCCGCCTGCAGCCAGCCGCTTCAGCTAGCGGCCAAGTTCATGCTGGCGGCGCTGCAGTGGCGGCCTCAATCTGCTCACTCCATTCCCACCGCCCGGCTCCGCGCCGCGCGCCCAGAAGGTGGAGTTTAGGGGGTTTAAGTTACTGATAGGCATTTCTCACTGCTGTGTCACTCGGGGAGGAGGAGACACGCACGCCGCACACTCACACACTCTCACACTCACTGCGACGAGTGGCTCCGGCCTTAAAGGGGAAGCCACGCTGCCCTGCCAGCGACCCCACCGGCCCCAGGCATCAAAACGCCGGATTTCCAGGCAGAGATGGGGCCACGGGCAGCCAAAGGGCAGCGGCCGCCCAAGGGGCCTCCCAGGCCTTCCTGCCGCTTTTCAGAAGGGAAAGAGGCCACAGGCTGGCTTCGCTGTGGCCGCCTCATTTCTCCAGTCAACTCGAGCCAGAGCAGCTAGGGAGGTATCCGAGGGACAGAAAGGGCTTGGGTGCACTCACCTCTTCGATCCCGCACGAAGTGGAGGGTGGCCTGTGCCCTCGGAGTCAGGTGGCTCGCCTAGATGGTGCACTGATAGGGAGAGGCGACAGCAGGATTACCGAGCGCCTCTGGGCACAAGCAGAGCCCGCTGGAGGGCCGCAGGCGGGGCACGGCGCTCTTGGGAAACTTGCACCCCTCAGGTAGACTTCCCGAGTCTTTGGACTGCTAAATGGTGAGGCTTGGGCGCCCAGGACAGACTAAGAGCAAGCAGGGAGAGGGGGAAAGCCAGCACTCACCAGTGACAGGGCGAGAGAGCAAGACGGACAGAGACCAAGAGAATCAGAAGGAGACCATGAGAGACAGCGAGGGCAGAGACTGAGAGACAGAAACTGAGAGAGGCACTGACAGTCACCGAAGGAAATCCCGCAGAGAGAGAGGTAGAGAGATAGTGGGGGAGAAGAGGGTGGAAGAGGGAGAGGAGACAAAGGGAGAGAGGGAAAGGCAGACAGAGGGGGAAAGAGAGAGGGAGACACTGGGGGAGAGGGAGAGAAAAGAAAGGAGAGCACCAGAGAAATGACAGATCCCTGGAGGACCCTGAAGCTTCTCAAGAATGAAGCCTCATCACAAAGTAGCCTATTCAACCCCCACCCCCATCCCTCTTCCCATTTTCATCAGAGCCTGATCCCAGAGCTAGTGGTGGTTCCTCCTCCCCTCCTTGCCGGTGGAGGGCACTCACCTGCAGTGGGTGGCTGCTGGGTGGGTAGCACCCGTCCTCCCGCCCACGCATCTGCCCTCCTGCTCACACCCTGAGGGCCAAACATACCCACTGTGGCAGCAGGGACCAGGGCTCTCAGGTGGCGGCTAAGGAACTGCACCCCGACCCCTCCTGGCCAAGCGCCCCACTCCCCACTTCTCGATCCCTCTACCCCTCCTCCAGCTTTAGGCGCGGACTTTGTGTCGCTTAGTCTGAGTCTAGGCTCACCAGCCACAGTCTCCTACCCCACTGGCCCAGGGCAGGTAAAGCCGCTGCCCAAACTGGGTTAGACTGGCCTTTTCCGCACAGTTATCCCAGGCTGACACCTGAGGCTTCTGCAGGAACATAGGTTCTTTGCGAACTGCCCGGCGGGCCAGCGTGCCTTGTCCCCTCTCTGCCCTGGCGCCGCAGCGGCGGGCGACTCCCCTCCCCCTCTCTGAGCTCTCTGCACTCCTTCTCCACTGTCCCCGCCTGGTGTGCGTTTCCTAACCTGGACTTCCCCGGGCGGCGGCGGCTGCAGGGGCTGAGCACAGCCAGTGGATGCAGTGTCTGCTCAGACAGCGGCAGAGCTTGGCTCCTGCCCGAACTTCTGAGTAGCGACCTGTCACCACCACATCGTTCGTCACGCTCGGCCGAGCCCCGGGCCACGAGTAAAGGGGTGGGCCCGCGGCTCATTAGGCGGCAGCCCCTTCCCTCCACGCCTACGCCCTCGGCCCTCAGCACACGCTGGGGCTCCTTTGAGAACCGGGCGAAATCTGTGCACTACGTATGTATGCGTAACGGGGCTGTGCGTTTCACGAAGTTTCTTGGTGGAGTAGCCGCATCCGGACCCAACCACTAGGCTCAGGTGGCAGACCGTGCGTGCCCTGGGGGACGGTCCGGTCCAATGAGGTGAGGAGGGTGGGGGGGCGCACAGGGTCACCAGGGCTGCTGGGAAGGAATCCACCTTAGCTGGCCCCAGCCCTGTCTGCTCTGGAGAGGACCAGCGACCAGGAGAGGTTATGGCTTTCTGGTGGCTGAACCCATGGCAGTCCTTACTTTCACGGTCCCGCAGGGAAGGAGAGTCATCCCAGGGATACCAGTTCCTCCAGAGCTGAGAGAGCTCTTGAGTCTCTTGAAGGTAATGCGATTAAACAAAGCTAAATGGGGGATTGATCCTTGGCAGGATGCTTTTAAAACTCCATCCTCTTTCTCAAAGCACACTAGCCAAGGAGATGGAAGAAGGTGAGTTCTATTCCCAGCACCTCCACTCAACCCTCATGTCACTTGCTCTCTTCTTCTCCAGTGGGATAGGTGATGCTCGTTTCCCCAGAATGTCCTGAGAAGCCTGTGAGATCACATCCACATGTTTGTGAGATGGCTACCTGTCTGCTTGGCACTGCCACCTGCATGGCCACTAGACGGCTCAAACTCCACCTGACCCGAACTCACTGAGCCCCAGTCATCTCCCAAACCCACCGTTTTATCCATCATCTTCATGGTCTAGATGAGGAAACAGGAGGCTCAGAGCTGCCCAGACTGAACGCCCTGGAGTCTTTCTTGATTCTCTTTTGCTCACAGGCCACATCCAGTCCAGCAGACAATTCTATTGTCCTCATCTTCAAAATAAATCCACAAGCTCAGCCTTCTCTGCTCCTCCACTGATACCCAGGGGTGCCAGCCAGGAGGCCCCCACACCCCATCACTCCCATAGATTCCTTCCTCCCCTCTTCCCTCCTCTCCAAGTCTATTCCCTGATCTCTGTGCCAAACCCTGTGGTGGCTCCCCATTGCACTCAGAATAAAACTGAAGTGCTTCTGGTGGCCTATGAGGCTATGCATGACATGCCCTTCTCCCATCTTGATGGCATCATCTTCCCTCTTGCCCTCACTCACTCTGCTCCAGCCACACAGGCCTCCCAATTCTTCCCAGCACACTAGGTACATTCCTACCTGCTAGGGCCTTTGCATTAGTTGTTCCCTTGGGCTTGAATTTACTTCCCCCAGATATCCACGGGGCAGGCTCCTCATTTCCTTTAGTCTTGACACCATTGTCACCTGGCCACCCTATGTAACATTTCAAAGCCCCACGCCCACCGATGGCACTTCCTCTCCCCTCCCTGCTTTGTTTTCTCTTTAGCCCTCACCACTAGCTGGCCTCCTCCGTAGGCTGATCCCAAAAGGGCAGTTCTCAGTGCCTGCTTTGTTCACTGCTGCATTCCCAGCTCCTAGCACGGTGCCTGGCATGAAGTATCTGTTCAATAAATGTTCGTAGATTCTGTTTTCCTGGAACTTTTCAGGAAAGTCTAGGGGCCACTGGACTATACACATACACTGGGAAAAGGGCCTATAGCTCTCATCACATGTGAAGGTAGTTCATGACCTAGATGAAGGTTAAGAAGGATGTCCAGCAGGCAAAGAGCTTTGTGTTATGGACATGAAGCCAGCCTCAAGTCATGTCACCAAGGGGTACTGTGGCCCAGATATGTTGGCGGCAGTCTCACAGGTGGCCCCAGATGTACAGAGTAATTCCTTTGGTTACTGTTGGAAAGAGAGGTTCCCTTTTGGTTGTTACCTAAGGTACCCCAAGGTTGATGGAGAAATGGGAGAGAGAGGCTGTGTGAGGCTTCTCCTCACTGAGTAGACTGCCTATGAGAGCCAGGGCCCTCTTATCATCCAAATGTAAGACCACGTCTTGAGCTAGCAGCACATCTTCCCCCATTTACCTAGTTCTAGCCTGCGCCTTACCTGCAGGAGTCCATGTAGCCCGTGAGGTGTAAGCAGTCATCATCTTTATGTTCTAGGTGAGGAAACAGGAGGCTCAGAGGGGTGAAGGCATGTGTCCAGGGACACATGGTTCAAGAGTGGCACAGCAGTAAGCAATTGGGCCTCGAAGCTTAGGCAATTTCCACCTGCTGTGTGGCCACCCAAATTTAGTGTGTGCAGCCCTGGCCTGCAGGTCCAGGTGAGTTAAGAGATCCCATGGGGGTCTCAAGGAGCTGCCCTTCTCCTTGGGGAACTCCTAAGCCTGTTGTTGAGTGGCTGCCAAACAAAAGGTTGGCCTTGAGCCACTGGGGGCCAGGGGCACCATGCCAAAGCCAATATATGCCCTGCTTTTGGTCTGACCCAAACCTGGAGATTGATGGATTTAAAAACAATCACCAGCCACCTATCATTCATGGTCGTATTCCTGTGAACATATGAGAAGTTTTTGCAAGTTCACATGACAAATGCTGGGGGCTTAACTGGGAAGCCTCTGGAATTCTGTGTGTGGCCTATGCAGGTAGGACCCATGGAGAACATTCATACTAACTAGAAATCAGAAACACACACGCCCAGTTGCTCTATTTATAATTACCTCTTGCTCCAAAGCTTCCCGTGGCTTCCTGCTGCTGAAGGCACTAAATCCCAACTCCTCAGCCTAGCATTCAAGGCCCTCCTAGGTGGGCACAAGCCTCTATTTCCAGATTATTCTCTTGGTGCTTTCACACATGCTTCTGGGTTTCTGCATCTTTGCTCATGTATTTCTCATGTCAACTCTGTCAAAATTCTGCCTGGCCTTCGAGGCTCATTTCAAAGGCCTCCTCCTCAATGAATCCTGTCCTGAATTTCATCACAGCG